TTGGGTATGGCTGGCTGATGATGGCTAATAGGGCAGAAATAGCCATTCCAGCTTTCTTTGTCTCTGTCTGTAACGTAATTTCACCTTGACTACTAGCCGCTATGCAGTTGTTAGCGGGGCTTGCGTGTGAGCCCCAAGGCAGAACGGGATGACTGCGTTTCGTTATTGATCGGCGAACGTTCTTCAAGGAACAAGCACATGTTTCGGATTAAATTTTGATGTGGACTGTGAGGCAGTGCAAGGCAGCCGCTTGGCGAAAGAGTTTTCTGCAGCCCCGATGTCAGGGAAATAACCAATGGTAACTGTGATACGCGAATAGCAGTAATATGGATTTTATGGGTGGAGCCTCTGGTAGCGCCTGCTTAAGGGAAAAATTATGACTAGAGGTTGGGAAGTTTGAACTAAATAGTACTGGTTGTTTAAAAGAGGTGGTACCAAACGCGGAAAATGGAAAAGGACGAAAGAATAGTAGGGGATTTGCCGGAATTGGCTGAGATGGTAGGAAGACGAAGTCCAAACTTTTAGTATTTAATGCCAGTTGGGAATTCAATATGAAGATTAATCCGCATTGTTTGTGAAAACATTGAAACCCAAACATCTAACACTAAAAACTCTCCTCAAAAACTAACTACTAACCTAAACTGGGTTGGTAACATAATAAACCTAACTGCAACCCTAAACATCTAACCCTAACTGCTTACTTGACCGGTAAACCTAAATACTACTACAACCATCTAATCCTAATAACTGAGGCAGGACTGCTAATCTAAACATCTATCTCCACTGGAATGTCGACGGAACACGTTGTTACGTCTCTTGACTTCTCCGACTGTATCCAGTGGCCACGCGTACGCCAAAACTAGTGATAACAACTATCAAGGTAGTACGGTGCTACTAAGAAGAATAGTAACAGATAAAATACACAAACCTCAACAATGGTAATATTCCAAGTCAAGAGCGAATGGAGTCGGTCAAGTGGGCGTGGATCTGTTGTTATAAGATTCCAGGAGGCAGTTCCTGTGGGCTCCCATTGGTCTGAAAACACCAGCGTCAGGGGAGGGAAAGTGAACAGAGGCAATACTGTACTGGTAAGGGGGAGTTGCAAGCGTTCGAAGTCAGTGGTAGTGGGGTGGCTCGATGAGTGGTTCTCGGAGTAGCCGCGGGCGCTGGGTCAAAAAGGGGGAGGGGGAACGGACAGCTGGCTGGCTCCCGCCATGTCACTTCACAGTGGTCTCCATGTGGAATGTGAACGAAGGGCTGAGACCGGGAGAGGGCAGTATTCAGTGGGGGAGAGCGGCCAGCGTTCTATGGAGGAGGGGGACAGCCTTCGGAAGAGTGCAGACAATAATCTGTAGGTCGGACGGGAGTTTCATGGGAGGAGGGAGGTGGAGAATTCCAAAATTGTTCAGCTGGAAATAACACACGTGTCTGGACTTTTAATTACTATTTAGGTTCTTACAACGGGCAAAGCGGTAGAGGCGTCCCGCTAACAAGAAAGCCATCACGTGTTATTCGGGGTCACACGCCTAGGCGCAGGCTAACGCCGCGCAAACCACCTGCGTCTTTATCGTAGACCATGTGTGGCCTCCTGGCTGTCTGTTAGCGTTTTATGATTAGTTGTCCGGTTATCCTGCGGCATTTTGATTCAACTGATCACTATCAACTTTCAGACTGAGCATATAAAGCTTCCTTCCTTCCGACTGATAAACTATTAATTTCTTAGCAAATTAAAAAAGCCTTGTTATAATTAATCGCCCGTCATTTCGTCAGTGTCCTTAGGGGCCTAACGAGGAAAGTTGAAGTTGGTGATGCTTCAGCTGCGGGGTTGAAGCAGTGATGTCCTCATCTGCGGACGCCTGGTGCAATCTGCCCCGGCCCTTCCTCACGGACACATGCGACCAAACTTTTAGAGCGCGGCCCCATCGCCTAGTCGACAAGAAGAAGAGTACTCATCTCAGACCCTAAAGTCGTCAGTTTTTGTTTTTTTCATTCGTGAAACTTCTTCCGCCGACAGCCTACAATGGATGGCAAGCGTTCGTTAGGTGCTCCGCCTACGCTTTCTGTTGGAATAACCAGTCATGGTGAAAGTCTCCACAAGCACGAATAAACAGGGTCATGAGGGCGTTTGAGAATATTGGCAGGACATGAAAGCGTTTTTTGCAGTCACAAGAGCAGAGGCGGCAATGCCTCCAGTTCATGGCTGACGCGCCTGTTCGGAGTATATACACTACGGCGACCGATAGTCACTCGCAAACCTGCATTAGCCGGCATGTACGAAAACTTAGAAATAAAAATGAACAACCGTAGTCAAATTTTTCACTTGAAAGAAATTTAAAAAGTACTCATTCGATCGAGTTGTCTTCTTCTCAAAGTACTAACTGTTTGTTAAGAAAAATAAAATTTTCTCAATAACGCTCGAGTTCCTCAGACGTAAAAAATAGCTGTAAATTAGAACGGTAAAATTAAATCTTTTCTTAACTTAAATTCATAACCAAGCCACTTTCGTTATATAAAAAAAGCACTTTTCCTTATTTAAAATATTTTAAACCTATTGCCGTTGTTTAATTACGCGTACTTATAGATTGACCTTTAAATTTTTGACAATTTTCTGTGTCATCAAGCTTTGTTTCATAAACGTAGATTCTGTCTGATGTTCGTATCAAAACCTTTAAAATAAGATATCTCTTCAAAACATTTATCTAAAAAAGCTGAGTTTTGGCTATTATTTC